CGTACAGAGCCCAGAGCCAGCGCTTCCCCAACTACGGCCGGGGCCGGGGGCTGAGCTCCCAGCAGTGGTGGGTCGACGTTGTGAAGCAGACCTTCAGGCTCTCGGGCGTGCACGAAGACGAAGTCCTAACGCTGATGGCGGAAAACCTCTACCGCGACTTCTGCAGCGCGCACAACTGGGAGGTGCTGCCAGGAGCCGGCGAGACCCTGAGCTGGTGCTGCCAGCGCGGCTTCCGCATGGGGGTGGTCTCCAACTTCGATAACCGGCTGGAAAACATCCTCTCCCAGTGCAACCTGCGGCACCACTTCGAATTTGTCGTCACCTCTGAGGATGTGGGTTTTGCCAAGCCGGACAGGAGGATCTTCGAGAAAGCCCTGCGCCTCGGCGGGGTCCCCCCGGAGCAGGCAGCTCACGTGGGGGACGACTACACCCGGGATTACAAGGCAGCCCGAGCCGTGGGCATGCACGGCTTTCTGCTGCGGGCTGCCGGGCAGGGCGAGGAGCCGGAGATGCCCCCTGAGCACGTCCTGCCCACGCTCAGCCACCTCCTGGCTCTTATTGAGAAGCGGTAACTGCATTTCGGAGGAGGACCAGCGCTGCTGCTGAGGGGTGAACTGGTCCTGGCGTAGGATTTCTTGCTGCTAGTTGGGCAGGGAAAAGAAGCGAGCACTTCTGAGCGCAGGGAGCAGTTTTGCCTGCAGAGCAGGAGGGGTGTTAATGCAATAAAATGTATCTGACGCTCAGCATTGCTGCTGATGTCTTTCATAGCTCAAAAAACACAGGGTCAGCAGTGGTGCCTTCCCCTAATGGAGCTGGGGACTGGGTCAGGCTGCGCTTTCGAAGGCTCGTTCTGGCAGGAGGGATGGAGGCAGACAGTGAGGTGTAGCCCGTCTCGGTCAGAGGCTCGAGCATCCCCCCGTGCAAGCGCATCAGCAGAGCTGGGGTTGGTCCGGTCCCAGGGAAGATCTGCTCGCGCAGAGCACCCAGGGAACCCACGCACAGGCCCTGCGCGCCCTGGTGTACCCCAGGTTTGCCCCCTCACTGGTGTACCCCAGCATCCCCCTCTTCCTGACAGCGGTGGCCAGGAGGCAGTTGCAGGCCTGCTGTGGGCAAAACAGTCTGGAGTTGGGCAATTTCACTTAATTTAATATATTGCCAATTAACAAACTTTACTGATTTGGGTATTGAGAAATAAAGAATTTTAAACAGTTAGGGAAACACTTTTCCTGCCCTTCTCCCTGGCTCACCTCTCCTTCCTCCCCGCCTAGCATCAGCTCCCCCCATTTTCACCACGTTATACTCAGCCCCCTGCTGCCTTTGGCAAGGCGAGGAGCAGCTCAGGTTAGGTATCTTTCTGCTGGTACTTGCTTCTTACTCCTCTGCTCTGACACGGGCTCCTCCACGGCCACAGCCCCTCAGGGGTGCCCCTGCCCTGGCATGGGTCCCCCACGGGTGACAGCCCCCTGCACTGTCCCTGCTCTTCCCAAAAGTGTCTCCAGCTGTGTCCCAGTGATGTCTCTTTCCGTGTGTGTTCTCCCTGCCGTTTCTCCAAACGCATCTCTTAATATTGCTCCTGCTTTCTGAAGCCCACCGTCAGGCTGGAAAGCTGCCCTTGGTCAGAGGGGAATTAAATGATTCACCTAAAAGCGGCTGGCAGAGCCAGGCGTTACCCTGACCCCTCGCCCCAGCACGGCAGACACAGGTGTAGCCTCCAGGAGAGGAAAGCTGCCGTAAACCAGGTGAAGAACAGATGTAGCCTGAAGGCAGGTCTTGTCTGAACACCACTGTACGCAAGCCAGTAGCCCTGTCTGGGCTCCTTTCCCCCATAAATGTCCTGTATAGTGTATATACAGTCACTGTATGTACAATTATATTCAAGCCCCAGCGAGCGCAATGCTTTGCTCACCGGACGAGCGAGATGCTCTGGTGTACCACAGCAAAGACGGGATCGAGCGGCTCCACGAAGGTCTGCCTGTGGGAGAAGAGGATGGCGCAGGAATCTCACCTCCTGCAAAGTCAACCAGCACCCTGATCTCAGCCGGAGACATGATCAGCTCCACCGCCTGCGGGTGCCCAGCGTGCAGGAACCCGAACTCATCGTAGTGCAAGAAGACCCAGGAGGCAGCGTTGAAGCCCAGGCGGGGCTTTGTTGCCAGACCCCTTCTGCGGCAGGGAGCTGTGGCAAACCCCCAGCTTGTAGGTGCAGCTCTTCTCCACGCTGATCTTCCACGCGCAGACTCCCAAGTGGAAAGCCACAGTGGCCAAAGCATTGGGCCAGTGGTCAAATCGCTCGGGGCAGTCCTTTCTTGGGGCTGAAGGTCAGGGTTTCCCTGTCTTCTGACAGGCTGAGGTGAGGGCTGACGGTTTTCTCATCGATGTGAATCTCCTGCAAGCCTGCCAGAGAAGCCACACGGTGAGCGCCAGCTCTCAGTGGCCGCTGCCTGAACCGCCCGAAGAAGTCACGGCCATCAGAGACAGTCTGCTCCCCTGGGGTGACACGGTGTTGGGTGCTCGGGCTGAGTGCCAGCAGAGCAGCTCCCCGCAGCCTCCCCTCTCAAGCCACAGCCAGAACAATGCAGAGACTCATCAAAGCCCAGATTTCAGCAGACACCTCTCCAGCCTCGCACTAGAAGTCCTGCAGAGTCAGAGAAGATGCTGCTCATCTTACTCTGCCCCTGGCCCAAATCCCCACAAAACAGAACTCAGCAGGTTCAGTTCATCGCGCTTTTGGGAGAGACCCAAATCTCAGCCCCATCCCTTCCCACCCCCAGTGCGGGTGAGTAGGACCCGACTTTTCCTCCCCCAGCCGGGGCGAGTCAAGAGCCTGTGCAAGGATGGCAGGGCTGTTTGCAGAAAACCTGCAAAGCCGGTCATACGGGAACGAGGAGGAACAGAGGGGGCTGGGCAGGGGAAATCCCTTTCTTCCTATAAAGCCCAAGTCATTAATCAACCCACCCTGAGCACTTTTGGAGTGGCTGAAGGAGGTGGCACCAGGCATTAGAGACAAGCACAGCCGTGACTCGATTTGGTTTTGCTGTGAATTAAGGGGCTGCCCGGCTGCCCTTGTGCCACAGCACGAGAGCCGGGCTGGCCAGAGGACGCCTGCACCCGCCGGGGGTCTGCTCCGCTTCCAACCCACGGGCTGACAGCACCCAGCACCGCTCGCCCTACCCTGGCTGCACGGTCCCCCGGCGAGACCCCTCAGCAGCTCTGCAGGCCGGGTGCGGGTGCGGAATAACCGCACAAGTGTTTCCGTCGCTCTGTAAATTCGCTAAGCAAAGAGACAAGGCTGATGCCCAGCGGACTCACCTGCTCCTGGGGCAACCAAGTTTCTACCTGCAGGTGCTCCTCATTGTCCTGCCTTCCCCCACCCTCTCTTCATTCATTTTAGGTCTTAAACCTCCACGGAAACAAGGCTGTTTTTTTGCTCTCCCAGCCCTGCCAGGCACGGCTATTTTGGGACCATTTCGGGAGCAGGGCTGTATTGCACTGGGTCAAAGTCTCAGGCACGGCTGCAAAACAGTGCCCGGGCAAGGGACCAGCCCCAGCCAGGTGCAGTGGGTGCCAACACGAGGACGGGTGGGCAGGAGGTGACGGCCCTGGCTGAGCCCCCCTTGCTACGAGGGATTGAGTAATTTGGTGCAATTGTTATTGCCAGGTGGCTCCTGCTCAGCCACTTGGAGCAGTCATGTTATTACCCCCCAGCTCGCCCATGGAAATAGAAACCATTAAAACACACAACTGCCGGAGGCTGGGCAGGGGCTGTTGCTGGGGGTCTGCTGGGAGATGCTGCTTGGTAATGAGCAGAAAAGCACTTTACTCTTCCTCAGGTCTCCAAGACTTCACAGGTGCACCAGTCAAGACCTTCAAGGTCAGGAATGGGCAGAGAGGCTCCTGTCCCTGTGGCCAGGCCACCCTCCTGATTCCCAGGGTGCTGAGAGCAACAGCAGCACCCCAGCTTCAGCCTCAGCCCCAAGCAGACACCTCCCCTCTGCGGGGGCAGGCGAGTCGGCTCATCCCAAGGATCACGCAAGGAGCCCACCAGCAAGCTCGAGAGCAACCAGCCTTCTCCAGCCCTCGCTTCGGCTTCAGGCTAAAGCAGGGCTCCCAGAGCAACCTGGAGGTGCCTTGGGCACGAGGATTAACCCCGGGGAGAATATAAGAGCAGCTGAGCTGGGCTGGACCACATGCACCTCGGCCACCCCCTCCCTGCTCCTGCAGGTCTCCCCACTCACCTCTGTCACCTGCTGGAAGATCTGCCCGGAGCCGGCGATGTGCTCGTACACACGGTACCCGGGGTGGCTCCTGTCCCCGCAGTCCCCCGTCAGCCCGGTCACCACCTTCCACAGCAACGCTCCCCGTAGCATCACACATAGCCGTGGGGGGTCTGTCCCTCCCTGGGAGGGGACGCAGCCAGCCTCCACCAGTACATCCAGCCAGCCCGGGGGTTGCCAAATTC